GTGATGTTCCTTCCACGCTGCATAAGAAGGGTCACCTTCCTTTGGGCCCGACTCGCACCCAGCACAAAAGTTGCTCAAAACAACGAAGTCGAGCACCAGCCCGCTGAACAATTCTATGACAGTGCCGAGACCGATATGTGATGACTAACTGCGAGTCATCCATGACCCATCAAACGACACCGCGACGTTTCTCATGTGGCCTATATTAAGTTCGGCACAAAGTTCGCGAACCGACCGCGCGCAGTCGCTCGTCAAATTGCGTGCAGCACAATCGGCCGCGGGTGCCAACTTCATCTTCACGTAGTGTTGCCACGTTTTCGTGTGAAGACCCCGACGGCTGATGCCCATCAAGGAGAACACATTATTTAGCACGGTCTGTCTGTTCCCCATTGCCTGCATAGTATGTGCGGCCAAAACGTTCACAGCAAAAGGTTTCATACGTTCATCGCTATGTGCGCGCGGTGAGCTCCACAACGACGCTGTCTCCCCCCACAGGTCGAACACACAAAACGCAACTTCACGGCAAGTTCGAATTCCCGGTCGTCGCGGACAACCTGCAGTTCTCTGTTGCATGCCTTGAACTTTGCAAATGCCAACAAAGCGCTGTTCACTTTTTCCAAATCTCTAATTGTGAACGTGGTTCCATCAGGCGGCCTAGCTTTGTCATCGGCACCGTCAACCACGCATGCGCGTTTCCGCTCCGTCGCTGCAGCGAGTGACAACTCCGATAACTTATCTTCGGCTTTAGCTCACTCCTCTTTCAAGTCAGGATGGCTGCCGATAGATACTATCTAGACTGCATGCGACCGCTGCTCGAAGTCTCCGCGGCTGACGAACTTTGCACAGGCTCCGTGACAACTGATGCGGCGGTAGCTAAGCCTTGCGTGGTAGCGTCGACGACTTTGCCATGGGCCGCGGAGAGTGTAGCGACTCGGGGGTTTTGCTGTATCACGGAGCGCTTCTTGAAATTCGCGGCTAGCATCCTTCGCACCTTTTTCGCTCCAAACTTGTGCCGCGTGCAGATCTTGCGCTCAAGATTTGACATCATGAAACTTCTCCGCTGACAATGAGGCAAAATGGTGCGCATAGACGTGCGCCTCAATACCTGGAGCAGATGAAGCCAGGAGTCTCCACCAATAGGAAGGCAAGCTCAAGTCACGTGTGCGAAGTAGCGAATAGGAAGGCGCTCTGATACTTCTTTTTGCCGCTCATTTTACAAGCTGCCAATGGTTGAATTGGATCCATTCTGGTGGGAATTTGAAGAGACCAAAGAGGCCGCCCTGGCACACATGAAAGGGCAGGGGCACTTCACGAAAAGTGTGCGATTTCAACGTCGATTTCGGCTCAGATTTAGCTAGACAGCACCGTAAAAAGGGTCTTGGCGGCTAAAATAATGATATTATAGGCATGAAATTCACGGTATAAGTGTACTAGTAGCTTTAGATTTCAAAAAGGCAATTTAAAAAAAAGTAGTTTTTTCACGATTTTTCGGTCTCCACAACTCGTGTCCTCCCTTAAAGGGGCAAATAGGTCTTTGGGACCGAAAAATAGCAAAAAAAAAATAGTTTTTCTTTTTAATGACATTTGTGAACTCTGCAGGCATTTTTACACCTTCCTTCCAATGTTTAGACTCCGAAAGCGATAATTTACTTGTTATATCATTACAAAGAGGACTCGCGAGCTTTATTCGCACAGAATCTGACGAAAAAACACCACATTTTTGGCTATCGTTTGCCGAATGCCATAGCCACGATCTTGGTCTCGTTTGAAAGCGAGTTTCTTCATCTTCCCATTCCTGTTCACACATCCTTGCTCCGCTCATTGGTTGCTGAATAAAAAGCAACCACAAAAATGCAATGTACGCGCCACTATTGGTTGTTGAGCGCACGTGACCACGAGGTGGCCTCTTCATTGGCTGATTGGGCTCGCATTGTCTGCTCGGCGTGTCCACAACACGTGACCAACGTGTTGTGCCGCCACACCGCCTATGCTTTGACTAGCGTACTCACGATCAAAGCTGACGCAATGCCTGGATCATCGCAAAAGTTTCATACCTGCATAAGTTCGGTAAAAAAAAAAAAAAAAAAGGCTCAGGCGAACAACTTCAAGGCGCATCTCTTGGCGAGTAGCGTCAACAAAGAGCGGGATAAGTCGGCCGCCGATGCAAGCCTGACTGCCTCGCCAGCCTGTGGTGTTCCCGAACCTGGCGCATCGCCGGCACATCTATCATCGGAAGGTGCAGATGAACATTGCGCACATCGAGACTCCACGACCCCCATCTCATCCGCCGACAGCGAAGGAATCGCTGGCGCGCCCGAGACAGTCGACGAGGAGTTAGGCCTAGTGGGTCCGCTGTGACACAATCTTGCTGATGGAATTAGAGCTGCAGGTAATGTGCACAAAGGCCGATTCAAGGCTGCAGGAACTGGCATCGACGGCCGCGTCGAAGCGAAAATTTTCGTTTTTGGGGAACGACGCACCGGCCGGCGTCGCTCCCCCGGAGCCAAGCGGAGAGGTATTAAGTTTTTTAATCACCGATCTTGGCTGCATCGGTCAACTGCTCGATGCCATGAAATGTAAAATTTGCAACGAAGGCATCAGTATTTACAGACAGAACAGGCAATACGGCCTTACCGTGAAATTGTGTGCACGTTGCGTGAACTGTGGCGACATCGCACAAGCGTGGAGCTCTTCGCGAGTGGATGGCGCACAGAAAGTGTATTCGTTCACCGTCAATACTCTCGCCGCTCGAGCCACGCAGGCTACTGCGAACCGTCAAGCGGCTATGAATGATATATTTTTGACCATGAATATATCTCATTGCGGACTTTACAAGAAAACGTGGCACGGATATGTGTAGCAAAAATTGACACTTGCAGCTAATCGCACGTCCGAAAAAGTGATGGGCGAGTGCGCGAGTGCAGTTCGCGAACTGTAGAAGGAGCTGCATATTGACTATGCCGACAGTATTGCAGTCTCGTATGACGGCTAGTGGATGACCCGGGGGCACTCGTCCCCCATATAGGTGGGGCCAGTGATTGAGCTCTTCACTGGCCTAGTGCTTGACTTTGTGGTTTTGAGTAACTACTGTGCCAGGTGTGAGCTTGGACCGAAAGAAGACGACCCGGCATATTTTCAGGCTCGGCGACCCAAGACCTGAAAAATTAAATTCAGTCATAATTGCATTTTCAGTGCTTGGTCTCACTTGCACTACTGTAATTACTGTAAATACCCGCGTATAATACGAGTTTTTTTTTTTTCCCTAATATTAGCGTTCCGAATTTCCGCTTCGTACTATGTGCGAATCTGAACGGAAACTTGCTCGAAAATGAAGTTGTTGCCAAATTTCGGTTTCGTAACTGCTGCTTGGCTACGGCTTCGTTTTGTCTACGAATGGCTATGGCTCAGCTTTGTTATCATCGCGCCCTCACGCGGCAAAAGTGAGCACTAGCGCCATTTCTTTCTTTGTTGTTGAGTTTTTTGAGTGCTTGGGCAGCGGACGGGCGGACGTGTGAACCTCGCTGGGTTCTGTACCTCACTTTGCAAAGGTGCAACATGCCAGAGCACCGAAACCAGTACATGGCTGCATTGAAAAGAAAGGTCATCGCAGCTGCCGAGGAAATCGGCAACAGTGCCGCCGGAAGACAGTTTGGAGTCACCGAGGGAAGTGTTTGTGGATGGCGATGACAGAAAGAAGCGTTTTGCGGTTGCAGCGGAAAGGGAAATAGCTTTCGGGGTCCAAAGAAAGGGGCCTTCCCAGATACTGAACTCGCACTGACAGAGTTCGTTCAACAGCAGCGGGCGGCGCACTTGCCAGTCAACATGGAGCTGATGCAAATGAAAGCGAGGAAGCTGGCGAGAGAAAAGGGGATGTTGAGCTCGGACTTCAAAGCCAGCAAGCACTGGATCTACCGTTACATGTGCCGAGCCGGATTTTCTCTGCGCCAATGAACCTCCACTTCTCAGAAGCTTTCTGAAGCCTTTGAAGAGCTTCTTATCTCATTTCAACATCATGTGATAATGCTGCGCCGCTCGCAGAACTTCCAGCTGGAACAAATCGGCAACGCCGATCCAATGCCAGTTTACCTGGACATGCCATCGCCCCTTACAGTTCATGAGAAGGGCTCGAAGCAGGTTAGTGTCCGTACCACCGGCAATGAAAAAAGGTGTATCACAGTGATGTTATCGTGCATGGCTGACGGCCACAAGCTCCCACCTTATGTCGTCTTCAAGCGCAAGACAATGCTGAATCGGAGGAGCTACCGAAGAATGTCATCGTGAGATGTCACGATGAAGGCTGAATGAACGAAGACCTTGTCCTAGACTGGGTAAAGTCCGTGTGGTGCAGACGGCCTGGTGCCCTGCTGTCTTTTCCATTCATTCTGGTGCTGGACCCGTTTCGCAGCCATTTGGCTGACTCAGTGAAGGGGCTGTTGCACGACTGCGGCACGGAACTGGTCGTGATCCCGAGTAGTATGACATCTCAACTGCAACCTCTCAACGTTTGTGTAAATAAGCCGTTCAAGGATGCAGTTAGGCGCTGCTATGCCGAGTGGATGCGCTCAGGTGAGTTTGCAGTGACGCCGACCGGGCGGCTGAAACGGGCATCGCCGGCCACGCTATACAGATGGATCGCGAACGCTTGGGCAAGCATCCCAGAGCACCTGGTGCGTCGTTTCTTCAAGAAGTGCGGCATCTCTAATGTCCTCAATGGCACAAAAGACGAGCACCTATTTGACAATTTGTCTGGCAAGTAAATGTCTGAGGAAAGCGCAGTTGAAGACGACATGGTAGATGTGTACTCAATCATTGTGTCTTCGATGACCTTTCCTACGTCGTTTTATATGGGGTACTATTTTTTTTTCATTTCGCGCCTCTAAGATTTGGCCTCGTATTGTATTCGGGTTTGTATTATACGCGGGTATTTACAGTACATTCTTCAGTGATGTTTGTGTCGTGTTCACCACAGGTGCTGCTTCTGATCTGCCTTTGTAATGCAGGCCCCACCTGCACCCAAAGCAGTGGTACGGGAATGCCTGGTGTGCAAGCGCAAGGCTGAGTGCATTGGCTTGTACTGTGGCCGCGACTGCATCGCCAAGTACGTGCACGATGCCAGTCAGACCATCAAGGTGAGTCTCTTGCGTAGATCACTTGGCTAGCGATTGCCGCAAACACGAGAAAAATATTGCAGGCAGCCAAGCTAGATGGGGAACGGCGACTCATGTTTACGGAGCGCAGTTCTGGCAAGCTTGTTGCCGGTGTTCAGGTGCCTACGCCTGAGAACCTCACCAATTGGCTGGTGCGCAACCCAACGTTTGAGTTGGCTGTTGCACGAACACCTGGGCGTCCACATTCAGCCAAGCAGCCTTCTTCCAAGGCAGCACAAGCCAAGCAGCCACACAGCAAGTCAGTGAAGCAGCCACCAGCTGCTCAGGTACAGTCAGCTGCACCCTCTGGAGCCAACACGACGACGGCAGCAGCACCCACACCAAGTAGCACGACCAACAGCGCACCGGCCGAGAGCACAAGTAGTGGCACGGAGGCTGTGGCAGGTAAGCGGCAAAGTGCAGTTTTGGAAGTGGAATTCTTTTTGAATATGTGGAACAGATGATTGAAAGAATAACCTAGAAAACTCAGCTTTATTTGTAAAAGAATTTGACTGTCCACGTACAGTATATTGCCTACTATACAATCGACTCCTCTTAAACAGAACTCGAAGGGGATCCATAAAACTGTTCCATTTATCAGAAGTTTCATTTAAGCAAAGTACACCTATTTAGTGAGCCAATACATTTATTCAAATTGCACAAACCTCACCTTACTCATAAGGATGAGTAGGAGAAAAAAAGGAGTGAAGAGTGGTTTGTTTGGCAAGTTTGAGTTGTTTTTTCACAAGGTACGCTCCCATGCCTGACAAACTAGCTAAAAATTCTGGACAAGTTTCATGCTCAAAATAGCGCTGCAAAAGTTCAGCAGCCTCTTTAGCTCATTGGCCTGGTGTCACCACTGCACTGGCAGTATCATCACATTCGTCACCGAAAGGTTGACCCTCATCTTGCACTTCGGCAATCATTTCCTCGTCAGTCTCTTGACGACAGGTAGGAACATTTTCATCAATTGATTCATAGTCCTGCAGCGTGAAAGGAGCAGAGGGCATGACCTGACTGAATACTGTCTCAATGTCGGCATCAGCAGGGCTTTCTTCTTCATCAGGTACTGCTTCTTTGCGCTTGGAAGCCAGCATGATGAAAGCATCTGTGTATTGTTGTTGCCTTCACTTGCTCTCAGGCACAAGCCAAAATGTGGATGGCTGCCAAGAAATCTATGCTGTAGAATTTCGCACTGCCTGCTCTAAGCAGCATTTGATGGAGCAATAGTCTGCAGTAATGAACATTATTGTTCTGAATAACCCCTTGATCCATTGGCTAGATCACTGTCGTTGCATTGGCTGGCAAGAACTCTAGAGTGATGGCTTGGAGTACTTGAACCTGACCGTGAGCTGGACAATTATCAACGATGAAGACAACCTTCCTGCCTTGCCTCGTAAATCTTGCGTCTTCTTTCTGAAGCCAGTTTTCGAAAATGACCATGGTCATTCACGCTTTTCCGTTTACATGGTACGCAAGCGGAAGGTGTCGTGAACGCCTTCAAAGCAATGTAGGTTCCTTAGTTTTCCTGTTACCAACAGCTTCAATTTCTCATCTCCTGCCATGTTTGCACCCACCAGCACAGTGATGCGATCTTTACTGTGTTTTCCTCCACTGCAGGCTTCGCCTTAGAAGGTGAGAGTCTTTGATGTAAGCGCCTTATAAAAAAAGACCCATCTCGTCGATGGTGAAGACATGTCGTGGCTCAAAGCTTATCAAAATTTTTTTAAGGGGGGACGTGGCATTGAAAACTATCTTTGTTATTGATGGGGCTAACATGATGAAATTTGGCACATCCGATGTGATTTGTTATGCTGATATCATAACTAAAATTAGTTTTAAGCTATCTCTTGTAGTTTTTTATTTACGGCACTTTATATAGTCGCATTGTCATCCCAAAATTAATCAATTATTTAGACAAAGTTTTGTCAAAATTTTTGATTGAGCATATTCAATAGCAAGGCGCACTGGGTGCCGTAAAGTTATTCTCTTATTTTTTTAATGTCCACATGAGCACAGAAAGGATTTTTGAAATGTCCTATAGATATTTTCTTAACAACTTCTGCAAAAATAGAATTATAAAAATTTTTATGACTGCCAGATAAAAATAAATAGCGTTATGGCACTCACCAATGTTTCAGGATCTAAGTGCAAAAAAGAGAATGATTTTATCTTCATTAGCTATGAAATAGCACTGGGATGACTGACAGCAACTGCACAAAAAATGGAAGCTGAGAAAACGGAGCTTAAAGTTTTATTTCATGAAAGCAGCTAAATATTAACTTTGAACACCTAAAACCCTTTTGGGATGTAGTCCTTTGCCTCTGCAGAGACATTTCGTTTTGATTTTAATCCAGTTTTTTGCTTCTTTGGAGCAGTTTCGTGCACTTTGGTCACCTTTTTCATGCGCAGTGCGTTCTTTTCAGCAGCGCGCCGCAGGGAGCACGATCCTGGAGTGTACCCAAGTTGTGGTGTGATCTCTTGTAGTGCTTTTCCACCACAGCCAGCATTGTGTGATAACCGGATAGTCCTGGGCCATGCCGGTCGCTGGACCGAATCACACACACGTGCGTTGGCGGGTTCCACACTGACTGGCTGGTCGTGTGCGCCGTATTTATTTCCTTGCAACATCGACGCCCTCGGGCGTTGGAACGGCAAACTAATCTTATCACATCTCTCCCCTCTTTATTAATGGTTGCAAACCATTGTTTAAGGTGCGTAGCGCGATACTGGTCGTCGAATTCTGGTACTTCGACGCAGGACAGGAGTACTGGGTGCTGTGACAGCAAGTTTTGGTTCCCTCGCCACGTCTTCCCTGGGATCTTGCCTAGACTCTGTGTCGTGAAGACGATCCGGAGATAGCTGCCTCTGACCTACGTCCAAGCCTGGAGCAAGACCCGTTAGCTGCGTCTGACCAACGTCCAAGCTTGGAGCAAGACCGGTACATACTGGGCTGCCTGACTTTTGGTTGCCTGCACTCAGTTCCTCAGGGGCCTGGCGGATGTGATCCAGATGTCAAGTTAACCGTCGTCCGTCTTCCAGTAGAACATCCATGGACGAAGTGCGTTGTTCGGTGACGACTGCAGGGAGCCATGCAGGTCCTGGACGGAAGTTCCTTGCGAACACCTGGTCACCCGGGTGGCCCAAAATTCTGAGTCTTGTTCCTTTGAGTCTTGTTCCTTGGTCGCATCTGATTTTCTGCTTAAGTTGCTTCTGTAGCACCTTGGTCCTGAGGTCTGGGTGTAGCAGGTTCGACGCAGTCCTCGGCTTCCGCCCCAACAACAGCTCCGACGGACAGCAACCCGTGACCTCGTGAGGCGTTGACCTGTATGTCAGGAGCATGCGGGCAATTTGAGTGCGAATATCTCCAAGGCCAGCCTTCCGTAACTTGTTTTTGACAGTCTGCACGACCCGCTCTGCAGCACCGTTTGACGCTGGATGATACGGCGGCACCAGCATTCGCCTCACCCCGTTTTTCTTGAGGAATGTGAAGTAAAGCTTACTGGTAAATGCTGGCCCATTATCCGACACGACCACATCTGGAAGGCCTTGGTTTGCGAACATAATGCGCATGCAGGAAATAGTTGCTTCAGCCGAGGGTGTAGAGACCGGGAACACTTCGAAAATCCACTTCGAAAACGCATCGACTGCGATAAAAAAATACGTGTTCCTGTAAGGACCCGCATAGTCCACATGCAGCCGTGACCACGGTTTCTCCGGGAACGGCCAGGGCATGACAGGCACTGGTCGTGACACTCTTTGATGCTCCTGGCAAATACGGCACCTTGAATGGTTATCGCTATATCGTTATCCAGGCTAGACCACCACACATGGCTACGCGCAACTGCCTTCATTTTGCACAGTCCTGGATGACTCTCATGCAGCAGCTGGAGGACTTCCTTTTGCAAGGATTTTGGAACAATGACTCTGTTGCCCCACAATAGACAGTTCCCTTGCACACTCATCTCATAAAGCGCGTCTCGTAGGGTCTTCCCTCTGACCCTAGGTTTATCTGGCAGCCTGACCACAACACTGCTCTTACTTGTGACAGCACCGGGTCTCTGGAGGTGGCTGCTGCAACAGCATTTGACGACAGCACCCCTGGGTATACTCCTTCCAGCATTAACACTTCGGCAGGGCAGTCAACAACAAATTCGGCAGTTGGCAGAGGTAGCCGGCTTAACCCATCGGCATGTGCAATTTGTGAACCCGGCCTATACTTCAGGTCGTAACTGTACCCCGACAACAGCAAGGCCCACCTTAACACTCTTGGAGAACAGGATTCGGGAACTGGTTTGTCTGCTGCGAGCAGGCCGAGCAGCGGTTTGTGATCTGTGACGGCTTCGTATTGCCGGCCCCATAAGTACTGCTTGAACTTTGTAATGCCAAATACAAGGCTCAATGCCTCCTTATCTAATTGGCTGTAGTTTTTCTCCGCGGTTGCCAGGCTGCGGGAGGCAAAACCAATGGGGCGCTCTTCTCCAGATGACTCTCGTTGCGCCAGTACTGCTCCAATTCCCGAAGGAAGGTGCATCAGTGACAAGCACAGTTGGCTTTCCTGGGTCAAAGTGTGCCAATATAGCAGCAGAGGCCAATAGCTCCTTGCTTCTCCGAAATGCCTGCTTTTCGTCAGTTTCCCAGCGCCATGGTAGTCCCTGACGCCAACAAACTATTGAGCGGCTGTAATACGGCAGAAAGGTTCGGCAAAAACCTGTAAAAATTAACCAACCCGAGGTAACTCTGAAGTTCCTTGACCGCTCGGGGTGCGGGGGCTTCCAGCACTGCTTCAGTCTTAGCCGGGTTTGGACGCAGCCCAGCCGCACTAATGATATGGCCCAAGTACTGGACTTCTGGTTTCATGAATTCGCATTTGGATAACTTCAGTCGCAGTCCCGCGGTCTTCAGGCGATCCAACACTCAGCCCAAATTTTCCCAATGCTCTTTGTCACTGGTTCCTGTGACCAGAACATCATCAAAGTACACTACGACATGGTCAAGGTCGTGCAACAGATTTTCCATCTCTCGCTGAAATATAGCCGTAGCTGATGAAACCCAGAACTGCAGCCTTGTGAATTGGTATAACCCCTTCGGAGTGTTAATGGTGACTAGCTCTTGGCACTCCTCATCGAGTGGAACCTGCTGGTAGGCATCTTGCAAGTCAAGCTTTGTGAACTTCTTGCCCCCTGTAAGTCGCGCAAAAAGTTCCTCAATCCTAGGACTAGGGTAGGACTCGACGACTGTCACCGGGTTTATGGTAGTCTTAAAATCGCCGCAGACCCAAACCCGGCTGTCGCGCTTCAATACAGGAACGATGGGCGCGGCCCACTAAGAAGTTTTCACCGGTTTGATAACGCCTTCCCGTTCCATCCTCTGTAGTTCTTCAAAAACCCTATCGCGCAAAGCAA